ACACTTCGTCAGTCGGAAACCAGCTGCGCACGCCGACAGTCTCCAACTCTCTTGAGACATTGTTGATCAAAAATACAATCGCTATTGAATAGTTTTTTTCTTATTTACAGTATATCATCAACAAAATATTTAAATTTATTATGTACGCTATACTTTGCCACATGCCGTTGCGGGGAGGACAAACATAGATTCATAGTACCAACGAGATGGTTGAAGCAATCATAATGATTGTTGCGACCACCCGGTGGCGTTAGCAAAAACCTTTAGAGCCATTATGAATCCAGCAGAGAAAAATATTCGAAGTACTTTCGCAGAAAATAAATTAATCGCTTACTGCAAAACGCCGAAACTTCAATGGAAGGTAGCCCAAGGAGCGAGAGCAGAATGCCAAAGTTTCGAGAGAATACTTTAACTCAATCAGAAGTTAGCAGCGATTTCTAAACAAAATTAGATGAAAGGTAACCCTGCACTGTTGGTAGGAAACATATGGTCACGCTGCTTGACACCACGACTCAAAAGATAATGCTAACTGTCGTGTGTACGCCTGAGTATCTACTCAGAGCCATTATCATACGACAATAGCCGCCTCTGTGGCTCCAAAGCAAAGCGCTGGCCTTCGATCCCTAAGTGGCAGGTTCGAATGCCGGTCCAGGTGCCCGCACTCTGGCGGGGGCTCATTGCTGAGAATGCGCCGTGTAACCGAGCTTTCGTTTGCACGTAAAAAGATCCCCAGGTGATCAATATTAATCCTCAGTCCTCCGCATCAGCGTCTGAGACGCCTGTCGTTGATTAGGCAAGTAAAACTCCCAAATTTACTTTTGATTGTTCGAAAATAGGGTTATCTACAAAGCTGCGCTGTCAAAACACCGTCCTACATCTGCAACAAAAAGAGTATTTTTTTTCTTCTTTTCTTTTTTTAAATTTTTAGTGAGTCGCTTTTGACTCAAGCAATGTATTGGGTAGAAACTTCTTAACCTTGCCTTCGTAGCTGGGGCTACCTTCTAGTAAAATTTCAGCGCTCTGGGATTTGTACATTGCTCATGCGCTGCAAAAAAACAAAAAAACAACTTAACTATGTTTTTTTTTATGTTGACCCGGCGCAGCCTCAACCTTCGCGAATCTATCACACTGCAGTAAAACTGGTAAACTTAGTGCCTCGCGTAAACATATATTTTAGGTTATCCGTAAAACAACAGGCACGTTCGCTTTATCTCCCCTGATTTAGAATCTTGACAAAGATCAGCTGCACACTTCCAAAACGCGAAACAAAAAAAGAGTGCTTTATGTTTTGTTGATAAGGAATGCTATTTAGCAGAATGTAGCGAATATACCTAACCACTTGAAAGGTGCACGCCAAGGGCCAACATCTGGGGACCTCATCTGGGCACTCGGCGAGAAAGTCGGCGAGAAATCTGGCGGCCGTGATTGGCCAACGCCATACTTGACCTTGACGCCGGCCAATCATAGCCGCCGGATTTCTCGCCGACTTTCTCGCCAAGTGTCCAGACTAGGGCCCCTGGATGGCAGGGTCGGAGAACTGAAGTTTGAACGGTACCTGAAGAGACAAAGGTGGGATTGAACAGGAGTGCCGCGTCATCGTTCGTCTGTCACCGAGAACACGAGTCGGACCCAAACGGTGACGCAGTACTCATGTTCACTCCCAGGTTTGCCTCTTCGGGTGACGTTGAAGATTTAGCCCTCCAGCATAGAGACCATACATACTAACTCTAGAGGGAAAGGTCCGCCATTTTCTCATGCATTCTGGCTGCCGGAAGCGGCGGAACATGCAGGCAGACCCTCGGGGTCCCACACATTGTTGCCAGCTGCTTTCTACTTCACGAAAATAATTATATCACCAGAGCAGTTTCATGAACTTTAACGATCCGCGAACTTACCGGTGGAAAGATATTCGCGTTCCTTTCGAAGCTTTCTTTCTGCATAGCGCGCAGATGCACGGCCTCGCGTCAACACTAAACTAAACCAGATAACCGTCCTCGCGGGTGGGGCGGGTGGGGCGCGAGTGGCGCGCCCCACCCGCCCCACGAGTGGGCGCGCTCCAGGAATACGAAACTGAGCAAACACCAGATTTCCGAGATTTCGACAGAAGGGAAGTTAATGCAGCGTAATGAGTATCCGCGACTCCAACTAACTATAGGTGGCGCCACTCATTTTCCAAGATGGCGGGTTTAGTGAGGGTCAGAAATGCGTGCCGCTGTTGAGCCCGTCTAGTGTGCTGGCTTCACTGAGCGACATAAATTATTTCTGGTAATACAAGGAAGCTGATGTCTTATGAGCGCAGGTTACCCCTTTAACCTGAAAACAAGAACGGTGTTTAGCGTATTTTTTACGGAAGGATGCGCGTTTTAATTCTGGAGCGAAACCGAAACTTACCTCTATTTTGGATTTAATTTCTCGATATAGGCCTTAATTTCGAATTATTTCACGACTCAAGGTGTGTCTCACATCGTAATTATTTACTTAGAAAAGTTGTTCGCGGAAACTTTATTTTGTGACATATTGCTCGATCCAGGGTGATATTTGTAGTTGGTGAAAAAATCAGTGCTGACATCTGTGCGTTCTCGCAGCCTTTCTCTCGCTCAGATAATTGTCATGGGAAATAATGACAATTATTCCAGCACAAGAATAAGAAAATAATTCTAATTTTTATAATATGTCCACGAAACGTATAAACTAATAAACGCTGCTCTCACTGCAACAACCCAAAGACGGAATCTGAGTCAGACAGCTGAAGTGTGTGTGTGTGTGTTTATAGCACCGCGTGACGTGTAGGACTTCATATTACATCCATTGTTTGACTGTTTGTCTATCTTGATAACTATGTCAGAGTTTTTCATATGCTAAAAAGAAAACAGAATTATACCTTTCTGGAAAGACTATTATGGTTAAATAGCGTATTCTCGCGATCTTGGCGTTAAGTGGAGGCATACTTTGCCGCGATTTGTATTAATAATAATAATATTAAAAGTCACATATTTGAATAAGTAATTCTTCAAGTTCTAATATAATTTGTTGCTTATGATCTAATTTTAAACGCGCGAAGAAATATGACAATAAAAACTGTGCTAATTATCATCACTGGTTTCAGTTGCTGCATTTTAATTACCAATAAAAAAATAGTCTAAAATCAATGAAAACATTTTAGCGAATGTGAGAAATCCATGTAAAATTACATTAATTGTGAATAAAGTATATTGTGCTCAAAGTCGCGACTTTTGACAACCGGTTAAACGCCCAAAGTCGCCGCCAATAACCTTCCAAACCCAATGCCCAAAAATAAAAAAAATAAAAAAAAGAAAAAAATGAAAAAAAGAAAAACGCTTTTTTTTAATTATTAGTTTTTTCATAACATTTATTTACTTTTGTATTTGCTCGCCGTTGTTTTGCCAATCTCAACCTTTCCAGTTCGAAGGAGGAACGCGTATACCTGCTTGCACGTCTGGTCACTGCAGCACGTTTCGTTGGCGTTGGAAGCCGGTGAAACAGTTGTGAGTTTTTTACTCAAGCCCTGTGTGTTTGCGTTAGCTTTACGTGTTCTACACTGCGCGTGCGCGGAGCCCGAAACTGCGGTCTTGGATGGCGCATGGCGATGGGGCGGACGCACAACGTGGGGCACGGAACTCTAACGCAAACGCATACCGCTTGCGTTTGCTTCTATGCGCAATACTAAAACTCTCCAGTAAGGTACAATCCCATACCGGCTGCAGCACTACGTTGGGACAGTGAAGAGTCTTGTTTACATTCGGAAACGACATTTCGCGAGCCATGATCGCGAGCAGTTCCGCCATGCCCGCTGAGCAGGAGAGTCGGGGGACCCTCACTAGAGCGCTTCCCGTTTCCGCCGCGGGAGGGCGAGCGTCGATCTGGAGACGCGAATACTGCTTTTTATAAGCGTTAAAATAGCTCAGAACTTTGTTTACAACCCTAAATTATCACTGTTTATATTGCTGAGAGTTTTCAGTCTTCGCGATTACCATTGCGACTGTCGTCCTTCAGCTGGCAACATTGGTTTCTTTCTCTCGTGTTCTGTCGCTCCCTTTCGCGATCTTACCTCGGGACCCAGGATGTCGGCGCACGGGATTTGCCACTCCTCCTCACCCACCTTTACCCCCTGCCCTCCAGCGTTCTTATCTAAGTGCTATTTTGATCAAGATGATGATGATGATGATGGTGCACCGCTGTCCCACTATCTCCGAGGGAAAACAAGCGGACAGCGCAAATATGCTGACGATGTTTTTTTCACGCAGCGCGGGAATGGGCGGTAGAGCAACGTTTTTCTATATATACACGGTCATTTTCGTCAATTTCGTTACTGGTGCTAAGGTGCCTGGAAAGCAGCTGGAACGCGTCTTTGACTGGTCTGTTTACCACATTCAAAAAGTGCTCCCTCAATTTCCGCCTGTCGACGTCACAGAAGTGTCACGCTGTCGTCGGCCGCGATCCTGGCGGTGTCACAGCAGCGGTGGTGGAAGTGACAGACGCCTGATCTGCTGCGTGTCGCTCTTCAGCTCGACAGCCCACGGAAGCTTCGAAAGCCAGGAGCTGAGACGCCGCGACGACAGCGACACTTGCGTTCACTCGTGCTTTTCGCCGGCACTTCTACAACCAACCACCAGGATCGCGACATCCGACAGCAGGACACCGACTTTTGTGATGTCATTTGTTGACACTGGGAAACCTCTTTCGATGCATGGGCGAAACAGGACGTTAAACCTATACAAGTTGGAGACGCGTTCCAGGCAGCGTACTGCCGCAGCAGTTGTTCAGGGGCCAATATGCCAATGGTAATAGGTATTAGTTATCAATTGACCAAACGCAGCCACATTTACCTCATCTACGAATACATGCTCAACTGTTTGTTTCAAAGTTTGACCCTGATGTTCAAATAACGTGTCAAACAATAGCAAATTCTGGAGTCGAAGAGATGCACTTCTTCAACGTGAATTTTAGTAAAGAAGAAAAACACAAACAGAGCTACTTACACACGTTGTAAGGCACAAGTGGCTTCCGTCGCACGGCCCGCAAGTGCTGTTGAACGACCCAAAACAGCGGAATGCCTTCGTAGGGTCCCGGTGTATTCTTCAGGTGCTTCCACGTCGACAGGCGTGCGACATGCAGAGCCCCGAGAAGCACGACCACCAGGAGGACGCATCCCAAAACACAGAACACCGAGAGGAAAAACAGCAGCAGGAGCCACGCCGCCATGTTGAGCACCGCTTCCTAGCCAAATAGCGCCGCCGAACGCGCCGATAACGCGATAAACACGCAGCGAGATACGTCCAAAGGCTTCGACTACTCCCCGAAATGGTCGCAGTGCTGCAGCGTTGCCTACGGGGACGGAATATCTATATCTGACAGGAAGGAGCGTAGATTTTGCAAGCCTGACTTTCTCTCTTCACCAGCGCTCTCGCCATCGCCAGTTCCGCCCATCCGTGGAGACGACCGTCTCGTCTAAACCTGTAATGGTCGGCTGGTTTCAAAAAGAACACACACGGAAAAAGAAAAAGAAAAAAAAACCTGGCGCGGCTGCACAAATTTTTTTTTTTTCTAGTTGTGTCGTCATAACTATATATATATATATTAACTGCGTTCCTGTACTTTAACGGCGTGCGCTCGCACGACCTCTCGGAAACGCCTTGAGACTCGATCAACGGTCCCCTCGTAACAGCCGCCGAGTGTGTGGCCTGGAGTCAAGCCCCTTGGTGTTTTTGTGTTCGCATGAGGCCCGTGCTTCGTCGATACTTTGGAAGCATACCCCGGCTTTAATGATAGTCGGTACTTGAAAGAAACGCGAAGCGGGAATTTTAAGGGGTTTTACTCCGGAAAAATTCGGATTATGAAGGTAATATATTTTTTTTTTTTGGTGCAGATTTGAGCACAATATATTCGCCTTTCTCCATACCCTACCAAAAAAAAAAAAAAAAAAAAAAGGGATATTCAGCTACATTGTTATCAGCGTCTTTTCTTGACTTTACTACCTGCCCGATGCTTACAATCTTCTGTTTGCTTGGAATTTAAATTACTTGCAAAGTGCGGAGTTGCTTTGCTACTGAGGTATTGGAAGCATGGCTTGATTTTGTCACCGAATGAACACGCGTACATCTATAGCTGTTTACCTTGCGATCGTTTTTTTTGTGACTGAGATTTTGTTTTAATTACTGATTTGTAGATCCGGTTACAAAAGTAGCAGCATATCTATTGAAGGTTGCGTAAAGTATAGTAAGGGATGTAAAATTATATGATGATTCAGTAAACTACTACAAATTGAGGAATCTCTGCAACTTAAACCTGTGTTGCTTGAAGGTGCAGTGCGACGATTTTAACGTTAAAAGGACTTGCAGCTCGCATTTTTGTATTGTTTTTTGGCACAAGTGAGAGAAAATGCGCTACCTTCGCTCACGATATTACAATTTTGCTGCGTAATGGTAAAACATTTGTTTTCCCGATTTGCAGTTGCGTGTGATGTTCTTTGAAACTAAGGTGTAACGCCATTCGGAGTGCACAAGTTTTCGTGGTGCCACGTATCAAATGTAAACAAAACCCTCTCCTATCCGTCGCTGCCCTCACCAACTCTCTCGTAGCGAACTGCCTATCTCGATCGCTCACTGTGACCTTCAGTGATGCTAAGCGGGTGCGGCTATCTTGTAAATAAATAAAAATAACGTACGAAGGTTTTGTTTTTGATGCTGTTAAAGGTTTCCCGCTTTCTGTTTACCTTCATGTATTCCATAATTCCTGTGCCTTGTGCACCTTGAACCTTCTCGTTTTCCCGTTAGTTTTATATTTGTTACGTTCTCGGGAAGACGTCGATCACTTTCTTTGAGTTTGTAACTTGCAGTGGATAACATTTTTTTTGTCCATATATTAACCTATTAGAAGTGCAAAGAATCAGTGCCTCGTCAAGCTTCTTAACCTCTTTTACTTTTCCCTGTTTCGGATCCTGTGCAAAATAAAAAATAAACGAAATAATTAAAAAACAAATAGAAGTTAAGAATCACGGAGGAACGGCTGGGATTGAGGGCCTCGAATATAGAACCGAGGGTGGTTTTCCGACTTAGGTCACTAAGCATCTCATTCGCGAAAGACGCTGTGCATTGTGAGATACCCCAACCTTCAAATTATTCATTTATATATATATATATATATATATATATATATATATATATATATATATATATATATATATATATAAATATATATATATATATTTTTTTTTTTTTGCAAAACTCAGCGCGCGCGTAAACAGCGTTTTGGTAAGGATCATGGCCCGGGCCCCGGGGGGGGGGGGGGGTTGTGCTTTCCCCCCTTCCCCGGATTTTACCAGGGGGGGGGGGGGGGGGCACGTGCCCCGACCCCCGAAGTCTACGCCTACGTCTTTCACTGTTATAAAAACACAACCCCTCCTCCCTCTAAGAAGCGCAAATAGTATGGTCTAAACTGGAATCTGGAACAGTCGCTTTCTATCGTGGACCGTGGGCCAGAAAAACATTGGCCCATTTCGTACTGAACGAACCTTGACGAGATGAATTGGAAAACTCGCTGCCAATAGTCCCAGATAAAAGAACGAACTAATTTGATGTTTTCAGGACCAATAGCCCTGTGCTCTAACGAACTTTATTTGTGAATACCGTCTTTTTGGCTTTTTATTTTGCCATCGTGCCTTTCAAATTCGGTGTTTCTCGGATAAGACCGAATTGACGAAAGTTTACCGGCGAGGTTTTTTCGGAGTTTATCAAATTTATCCCAAAACAGGGAACTATCTACAACCTGCAATAGCATATACGGCGGGAGCCGGAGTTCGTGATTAAGGTGCATGATACTACCTGCGCCATCACCTGAGCTGGGTTAATAATAGCTCCTTACATTTAGCTCCCTTCAGTCATTCGTCGCCTCATCTATTTCATTCGTGACATTTCGGTAGGGGTGCGGGGTATACGTTCCACGGGCATGGACTGTGATACCCCTCCTGGACCAAAATTGCAACACGAAGGAACTCCGCCCTCGGAAATTGACGTCGACCCGAAGCTTCCAGCTACTGAACGAGGACGGCTGCCTGACCTTCTGAGTGAATTCGGCGAGCACTCCGCCAGAACGTCAAGGGCGCGGCCAACACCGGTAGCGAAGCACCGCATCTTTGATGACGATGACGCGCTCCCTGTCCACTAGTGGCCGTACCGAGTCTCATTGAAGAAAAGGGAGGGGGTTCAAGAACAAGTGCAGGAAATGCTTGACGACGACATCATTCAACCCTCAAGAAGTTCGTGGGCGCCCCCAGTCGCGCTTGTAAAGGAGCATTGAACCTTGAGGTTCTGCGTGGAGTATCGTTTATTGAACGCTGTGACTTAGAAGGGCGTCTATCCACTTCCCCGCAGTGACGATGCGTTAGACAGCCTGTGCCACTCCCGATATTTTTCGTCGATGGACCTGAAGAGTGGCTACTGGCAGATCGAAATCGACGAACGCGACCACGAGAAGACTTCCTTCGTCATTCCCGACGGACCGTACGAGTTCAAAGGGATGTCGTTCGGACATCGAACAGCACCAGCCACCTTCCTCACTCGTCACGGACACCGTGCTGGCACTTTGGAAACAGCCGAGCTGCCTCGTCTACCTCGACGATGTCATAGTATTTTAACGGGATTTCGACGAACACCTGAGACGACTTCAAGCCGTGCTTCAAGCTATCAAGACCGCCCTCCTGTCGCTCTAGCCTACGAAGTATCGATTTGCCTATGGTGAACTTAAGTTCCTTGGCCACGTCGTGAGCAATGAAGGTGTTCGCTCTGACCCCGAGAAGACGGGCGTCGTAACTACATTTACGTCGCCATCTGACAAGAAGTCCGTGAGAAGATTTCTCGGACTCTGTCTACTTCAGGCGGTTTGTTCGGGACCTCGCCAAGCCGTCAGCATTACCGACGTACCTCAAGGAGGACGCCGTAAAGTTTAAGTGGACAGAAGAACACCAGCGGTAATTCGATGAGTTCAGACGAGGACTCCAGACGTCCCAGATCCTTGGTCATTTCAACCAGTTCGCTGAAACAGCGATCCACACGGACACCAGTAACACCAGACTTGGTGTAGCACTAGTCTAAAGGCATAAGGGGGCAGAGCGAGTCATTGCCTACGCATGTCGGACGCTGTTTAACGCGAAGAGGAACTACTCAACGACTGTAAAGGAGTGCGTTGCTGTCGTCTGGGCAATAACAAAGTTCCTCCAGTATTTGTATGGGAGTCCTTTTGCGTGGTCACAAATCACAACTCCCTGTGCTGGCTCGCGAATCTAAAGGACCCCTCGGACACCTCGCTCAGTGGAGCCCATGACTGCAGGAGTTCGACAGGACCGTGGTGTATACGGCCGACCGGAAGCACAATGACGCCGATTGCCTGTCAAGGGCCCCCGTCGAGGCCGTTCCTGCCTGCACCGAAGACGACGACGATGAGTGGTTCCTCGGCGCTATGGATGTCAGCGACAAGGCAGGCAACACTTCAACGAGACGACCTCCAACTGCGAGCACTTATCGAGCAGCTAGATGGACAAGGGAGTACGGTTCCCTGTGCTTTCTTACAAATCCTGCGTATTTTCTGCATTCGACAAGGGGCGCTGTACAAGGAGAACTTCGGCGACAACAACGCAGCATGCTTGTTGGTTATTCCTTCCAGCCTTCGAGAAGAAATCTTCCAAGGTTGCAATGACGATCTGATGGCGGGGCACCTCGGGTACAGCAGGACACTTGCCAGAAGTCGTGAAAAATACCATTGGCTTAAGCTGCCGAAGACACTCGATCGTGCCGCGAATTCCAACGATGCAAGAAACCGCCCACGAAGCCGATTCTGCCTCGAAATTCCCCGTTCACCAGATCGAAATGGAATTGCTTTGACCGTACCCACCATCGACGCAAAGGAACCGGTGGATAATCGTCGCCATGGATTATCTTACACGATACGCCCAAACCAAAGCCCTTCCGTTGAGAACTGCGGTTGAAGTCACGAGGTTTTTTATCGAGTCCATCGTCCTTAGGCATGGCGCTCCCGAGGTTTTCACTACAGATCGCGGGTCGTCGTTTATGGCGCAGTTGACGCAATAAATTCTTCGTCTCAGCCAATCCAGCCATCGTCGCACCACGGCGTACTACCCGAAGACCAATGTGTTGATGGCGCAACTCAGCAAGACCATGGCCGACATGATCTTCATATACGTCAACTTAGAGCACAAGGCGTGGGACGAAATGTTGCTCTACGTCACGTTTGCCTAATATGGCCGTGCAAAAGACCACCGGGGTGACGCAATTTCAACTGGCTCATGCTACAAGAGTCTCGGTTTAGGCTGAGTTCTTCCCAAGCGCTCTTTCTTCGTTAGCAAGCTCCCGGAGCGTATAAAAAAATCGAACTCGGGGCATATCTTATCATGCATTTAGGACTATGATCTAACTGCTTGTTATCATTTTACTTTTTTTTTTTGGGGGGGGGGGGGGGGGGGAGGAGGGGGTAGAGGGGGGTCGTTCAGTATTCGTGAACAATTACACGTTCGGCGTATACATGTATGCCATTTTGATTTTATTACTTGCTCGATTATTATTAAATTTAAACTTTAACGAGCTGTGAAAGACGGGTAATACGGAAACTTTAATACATATGTAATTAAGGGGTTATAACCGAGAGGACACGTCACTAATTATTCGAGAAATTATAAAAAAACAATCGTAGCTTTCTGACGTCGTTATTTTTTATTCATCTAGCGACCTTAACTAATTTAGAACTTTAACAAAACATACTCTAGCTTTGCTGGGGCGTGATTGATTCAGGCTTCATGGTTAGAACTGTGACAACATAATGTAGGCGTCATACTGTTTTCCGGAAACAACATTCTCCATTCTCAAACATAACGTAAACAACGTAGCAAAGTTGTCGCTTTGTTGATGCGTCAGCACTAGAAATTCGCGGTTTTTGCCACGTCCTCAAAATTAATTGCGGTGATAGACGAACGCTGCACAATGTCGTGCTTCATTTTAGCGCAATAACTTCCCTCTAAATTCAGTGGACGGTTCTCATGTGACAATGTGAAGTTACCCGGCACCTTGACGTCACGTGACGCTAGCTTTACAGCTAAATATAGCGGTACAATTGTGACGTCATGTGACATATAACGTCACATGACACCGTGACGTCACGATGCAGCAACATTACGATTTCCCGCTAAATTTAGCGTATTATCTTTCCCCGCTAAGTTTAGCATTCGGCAACGTACATATATACATGAAACACACATAGGGTCCGCTGTGAAATCTAACCATTAACTTCTATCACAAGGGAAAAAAAAAAGAAATGTTCCCGTTGCTGTTGTTATCACAATTTATTGCCGTGTTCTGCGATCGTAAGAACATGTTTCGTCAGCGCACCTTCCACAAAAACAAAATGATCTCGCGTCTTAGGAGGACGTTCCTTTGGACGAGGCTCGCGGGACTACTTTGATCCTGAGACCGTTCGCTACTCTCAGGACGATCTCGAGAGACACGAGAAGCTTGTCTCGAGGATCCATTGACTGCACGATGAAGGAGCGCATGATGTGCCCCACTATTATCTTAACCTCCATGGAAGCAAACTTCTGGCCTGCAAGAAAAGAAACCGTATAACACGTCGAGTCTCAAGCTATCACCGCGCGTTGACAGAACCTTAGCTTTATGTTTTCATATTAGAAACTCGTCGTTATCCGTTACGTTTAATGTAAAAAAAACAAAAAAAAAACATATCGCCAATTTACTTATATTGAGAATTCAGTTTACAGTGTCCTTAATTTCATTACGAAAATATTGTTCGCACTTTTGCTTGATTAGCGCTATAGTCGCTGAGAGCCTTAGAAATGATAGTGTGGCGAGTCCCGATGCGTCGGATTATAGCTCAGCCGCCAATGACATTGCTGTATTAGGCGATAAGAACACCCAAGAAACACATTGCAAAGCGAGAAGCATAAATATATTAAGCAAGGCCATGCGTTTTTTTTTTAAATGCTTTTAGTGGCTATACCTCCATTTAAAAAAACATAAAAAGAAACTTATGAAAGACAGCAATAGTAAGGTAGGCCGGCTTGAAGGGTATCTTCTGGCGAAGCTCGACGGAAACTGACGCATGCGGGCAGAGCGCGACGCAGACGAGAGCGTGCGGGGATCTCAGAACACTAAGTTTTGGTTAGGGTGATTAACGGGGCAGACAAAGCTAGCTGCTTTTGTATTAATTGCACTCGACGAACGCGTTTGGGCTTCGAACGCCGGCGTGTTGCGTTTGACGTTCGCGTTCGAACGCGTTCAAACATTGTAATGGACGCAAAGGCAGCTATGCGGAGCGCCAGTTCATCTGCTTTTTTTGCAGGAGTTGCAGTGACGTGAGAACGACGCCGACCTCTGATTGGCTTTGACTGAAAGGATAGTGGGTAGGCCTCAAAGCAAAATGCATCGAGGTGTACCCACCATGCATCAATCAGAGCCAATCAGAGCTCGGCGTCTTTCTGACGTCACCGCAACCCCTGCAAAAAAAAAAAAAAAAAAAGCAGACGAACTGGCGCTTTGACGTGCCGCGCGCTCTCGTCTAGTCTGCCTCGCTTTCTGCCTGCATAGATTTAGGATATTTTCGAATATATTTCGTATCACGCGCTTGCTTCGCTGCCATAAATCACTCCACTCGTCTCACCCCTTCAGTCCCCCCTCCTCCCTCCTATCTTTCTCTAGTCACGTTTTACGTCGCAAAGATTAAAATACTACATAGATCACCGATAGCTCAAGGAAAGCAGGACGTGGCGATCACCGAGCATCTCATCGAGGATGTCATTGCGGTGGTTAGTACTATGGCGCACCGTGCATTCACGAGGGCGCCCATCAAACCATTCTGCCAATCTTGGCCGCCAGGCAGCTACGTAGCTGCCTTGCCTCAGACACGATCACATGGTCGTGTCGTCTCGGTCTCGTCCGGAGTTCTAAGTGGCCCCTCGCCCCCTGCCCCACCGAGTATATATCCATCGATGGGCGAGGAGGTTTCTCCTCGCCCGCCAGGGGGCGCTGCAGGCGCTCGCGTACCTGGACGACATCATTGTGTACTCGGAAACTTTAGAGGACCACCTTCGTCAGTACTCATCCACAAATTTGGGTTAGGAAGCGTCGTGTAACGTCAAAAGCATCCCTGCATTACAGAAGTCTTAACGTTTTAAAACGCACCTCTTAGGCGCCGGTTTCCGGGTTGAGCGGCGACGCCGTCGGCGTAACCGCGCGTTTCATTATGGGAAAATTTCTGCATAAATTAAATGGGAAACGTTCCCGATAAGTACAAAAATGTGCCCCGCTAAATTTAGCGGGGAAATTAGCGTCACGTGACCTCAACACTAATTCAGTTTCCCCACTAAATTTAGCGGAGAAAGTTTTGCTGAATTTAGCCAAAATTTTCCGCTAAATGGGAGGGCAGCAGGCGAGGAGGAGGGGAGGGTATGGAGGGGTAGGAGGGGCATACACTCCCCTCCGTACCCTCTTTTCCTCCTCCTCAAAAGCTGCGCTATAATTCGGCATTACAGAGAATTGTAAACGTCTTTAATTTTTTATAATCGTAATTAGTGCAGGCTCTTTTCCTGAAACGATAAAATATAGCTGACTAAACAGCATCGATAAACAAATTAAGAGAACCAATCTGATCTCTTTTGTGAGGAAGTGTAACAGGCAAATGTTGACTTGCTCTGTAGTCACTCACAACGAGCCATTAACTTATGCGCCGAGAAAGTGATGGTGAGGAGGAGGCGAAAGGGGACGTCAGAAGGCGGAGCTCTGGTTGGAACGATTAGTGGGTACATCTAAAGCCTTTGTCTCCACTATGGTGCCTGGAACGCGTCTCCGACTGGTGTGTTTAGCGTCCTATTCCGCCCATACGTCAAAAGTGGTCCCGAAGTTGCAACGAACGCCGTCACTGAGGTCGTAGTGTCATGCTGTTGCATGTCGCGATCCTGGCGGTTGGTCGTAGAAATGCTAACGAGTAGGTTATGAGTAACACAATTACACGCGAGTGTCGCTGTCGTCACGGCATCCCTACTTCCGGCTGCCGAAGCTCCCGTAGACTGCCACACTGGAGAGCGACATGCAGCAGAACAGACGTCTGCCACGTGCCCCACGGCTGTTGGGACGCCGCCAGGATCGCTACCGGCGACACCATGACATCTCTATGACGTCATCAGGCGGAAATCCAGGGACCACCTTTTTGGACGCGGTAAACACACCAGTCGGAGACGCGTTCCACGCACCGTATCTCCACTGCACTCGTCGAATGCGTTCGTTCGGATACGAGAGCCAAATACCGAACGCCGGCATTCCGCGTTCGAACGAGTTCAACGAGTGCCGTGGAGTCAAAGGCTGCCTTTGCGTCCACTGCACTGGTCACCTCCTCACCCTTTCTTTTTCTGCGCATAAGAACACCAAAGAACGAATCACGAAATAACAAGAGTGAGCATAACCACGCCCCGTGCTTCTTCAGCTCTCAGGGGGTATAGTTCGCTGATTGCGGTAGCGATCTCCTAGGGTGAACACGGTGGTGCGTTGGTCGTTCGAATAGACCGCATAAATCGGTGTCTCAACAAATTGCGATGTAATTTTTTCGCAGGGTTGTAATTATACGTCGCAAGTTTGTAGGCATAATGTTGAAGGGCTAAACCACCTAAGTAAAAAATAAAATAAAAAAGAAAGGCATAGAATAGGCATCTTTCTTTTGCCTTTGTGAAACCATCAAATCCGTTATGGGCTAGTGTTACCCTTATTTTTAAAGAAAGATTTAGTTGATAATTTGCCGAAGGGGAAAAAAGATCTTTTTTTCTCTCTGGCATTGATAAGCTCATATTTGTATACTTTCAAATACGAAATGCACCACCTTCGGGCACCTCTTTAGCAAATCGTAGCACGCTGCGTTTAAAAATATAAATACTATTTTGCAGGCTTTCCGAAGGGACAACGGGCCATCGAACTCTCCCTATGTAGTCACCGAGTAGTCCTAGCTGCCTGATTACGCTTGGCACAACAGTTCATACCAATGCAGTTTCTGGGCCCAGCTGAAAATGGCAAGTACGATAAAGGGTGGCGTTTTTCACTGTTCTCAGGAAGGAACCGATCAGGATCGAACTCTTCTGGCTTTGGAAAGACGTCGGGATCACGATGCAACGCATATATGAACACTCCGATATTGGCTCCTGCCGGAATTAGATGGCCTCCTGCGATGCAAAAAAGAAGAAAAAGGAAGGGAACAGTAATCATATATGGCAGCTTCTACGTAGAATAAATGCATAACATTTTAGATCTGCTTCGCAGGCGACAATTCGCAGTTTGTCAAAAATGTTACTTGCCCATTTCGAAATCCTCCGAAGCGGTCCGTCCAATCAATGGTACAGACGGATACAGGCGTTGGCATTCCTGTGTGTCATTAGGGGGACAAGAAAAACTCAGAAAGGAGGATGAAGGGGATGTTTTTTATGCCTAGTAACAATACTGCTTTCAAGACAAGCTCTCAGCCCAAAACGCCGGTATTGAACTTGCGAAGTAGCTCAGAATTAGGAAAAAAAACAACTTATTATCGCCACTAAACTTAAAGGTTCCATGAAACAAATTTTGGGCTGGGATAAATGAGTTTAAATTGGGACTTTACTAATCGCATATCGTTTAGTTGGCCAAAAAAAAAGAGGATAGAAAGTCAAACGCCAGCTTTTCGGTACGAACATTTGAAAATATAGCGGACTATTTTGTACCTTCTTGCCTTCGAAAGCTCTCTGAGACTCCGCCTTTTCACTATGATACATCCGCGGTTCCAAAAGCGCGTCACCGGCGCCAAACTGACTTCAGCAGAGCCCGGCTCACGCATTGCACACGAGAACTGCGTCACTCGGACGTATGCGCTCGTTAACAATCAATCCGTCGACGAATATTCGGATTCGCGTTCGTGGCCAATGAGTGCCCGACGGAACTTATCGTCACTGGCGAATGACAAGTTCTATGGTGCGCATAAAAAGCACGGTGGAAGCTAGGAGTCATCGCACCGGTGCCGAAGAATGTCGCGACGACGTGAGTTGAGGATTAAAGCTAAGGAGGAAGAAGTAGGAAAATCGCCTCATGACCCCTTTAATAAAAATACACGTTTTATTTATTAATTTATGTAATCATATTATTTTCCCGTGGCAGTAAAAAGCCTTCTGCAAACCAGGGAAATTCAGGATAAATAGCTACGTTAACATTATGCTGAAATCTACGAAGGCGTAGAGTGTCGACCCAGAGAACTGCAATAACATATTCCAGTGAGCATACAAGTGCCTTCATTCATTGCATAAGGGTGGAAATTAGTCACAACTCCCGAGACGGCGATTGTTTTATTTATTTATAGTTTATAGGGTACTGAGGTTCTGCGATGCAAATATGGCAAGAAGAAATAGAAAAAAAATATGCTGACTGTGCATTTAACAAAGAACAAACAAGCAACAACGAATAAGCACATTTGAAGTACATTCAAGTTGCATCACACTTTCGATATCTGAGGTACACCTTTAATGCGATATTAGTAATTTTCCTGTGTTTGAAGGGTGCGTTGTTAATTTTTTTTCCTCCTGATCTACGAAAGCAAACGGTGAGCAAATTTCTAAAGTTTCTAAAGTCTAATGTGATATCTAATCACATTTTGTTTTACATTTCACCAGCTGCAATACAACTTTCTTTTTTGGCCATTCTTGATACATCAAAACATTTTCCTACCTTGATGACACGATCTAAGTACGTGAGCTTCTTCAGGTCTTCCAGTGTTATGTTCTTTTCTGGTTCATCGCCAACGATTGCATCTAGCTCCTCATGGACTCCCTTTTGGACTTCAGGATGCAGGCCGATCAGGTAAATACACCATGCTATCGCTACTGCCGTCGTATCGTGACCCTGCACTCAAAACATCGGCATTATTTTGTCTTTTCATTACAGATTAGCAAACACATGTGATACCTCAAACATAAATGTGTCCACTTCTTCTCGGATGTCGTCGTCTGTAAGAAGGGCGTCAAAATCCAAGCTGTGCTGCAGTAAGATGTCAATGAATGTTGGCAGTTTTTTCCCCCGGAGTTCATTGTCACTCGTAGGGACTGCAGTAACCGTACTTCTTTCTTTGACAAGCTCTTCCCTTCTTTTTTGAATGACCTACAAGCGCATAAAGAGACGTTTGTGAGTATTTCTACTGAGTACTCGTATATATTAGTGGTGCAAAACTATCGATAGTACTATAGATAGTACTATCGATAGTCGACTGTCGAAAAACTATAGATAGTACAATCGATATAGCGGACTATCAGAAAATTATTGTTAATCGACTATCGGAAAAGTGTCGATAATCCACTATCGTAAACCTATCGATAGCACTGTCGATGGTTTACTATAGATAGTACTATCGATAGTCGACTATCAATATTTTTGGAGAAACTATCGATAGTATCAATAGTCAATTTATCGATAGTTTTGCATCACTAATATATATCGATAGTTTTGCATCACTAATATATATATATATATATCCAGCACAAATTGAGTATATTTTACGTAATGGGCAGTTTAACAGAAAAAATCGATTCCTTACCTTTTTGCTAAAGCTATGAACGACTGAGAGGTTGTGCGCGCACTCCCTTCCAAGGCTAGTTCTGTAGAATATCGAGTCAAGATATAGCCAGGGATTCTGAAACCTCAGCATAAACTTCAGAGTTAAACTGAAAAAAAAAAATAAAAAAATAAAAAAAAAATTCACATGGTAAAGTCGTAACTATGCACTCTAAAAAAAAGTTTGGGCGTGAAAGAACTCATGAGGGTTCTCCTGCTTGACCTGACGGTAAACGTTCGGCAGCCCCCTGCCGAACGTTTACCTTCATATTTTGAGCCCTAAAAAGTACCCCCTAAAAGGGGTCGTCGTAAGAAAACCTACTAGGAGTTCTTTTCAGCGTCCCTTTTTTATGCGAAAGTGTTCTTCTTCACCCAGATGCCTCTCTCTCGTGCGCCAGGGGGCGATAGTGCTTGAGGTGAAACCGTTCTTCACGAGCTGAAAGAGTTCTTGGGTTGTCGATGAACCTTTCAATAACGGATTTTTTTTAGAGTGTGTACCTTCAACGTGTGAATAGCAGAACCAATGAAGAAGATGAATAAAACAATCAACATAATATAAATATATAGGGAACGAATAGGGGAGATAGTGATTATTAAATTTATTGCATCAAAGTTAAAGGAAAGGAAAAGGGAAAGCTGGCGAAAGATTGGGCCAGGAGTGGGGGCCGAACCCGCAACCTTCGTGAATCCGGGGTAACTCCTTAACTGCTTATACCAGGGGTCGCAAACACGCGGCCAGCGACTCGCTGAGACATGGCGGCGTGCCAGCGAGTCGCTGGCACGCTGCCGCGCATCCTTATTACACTTTGTCTTATTACATTTCGAAGTATAAGGATCAGTGCTTCAGTGCGCCCTTGATTGCGCTCTTCGATAAAGAAATGTCGCTATTGGAGAGCTGTGACACGTGCCCTTAGGCGATGGTCCGATGTACGTTTGTCTGTGCTTTTACGCTGGTAGGTGGATTTCCAGAAATAAACCCGTTGTCAGAAAACGCTCAATCTGTGTGTTCCTCGTGCTTTGTCCTCCGTACTTTTGGCGCTGTTTCCTTCTTCGTAACTTCAAGAATAGCTCTGTTCTTGAATCCATTTCGTGATCGGAAGTTTTTTTTTACTGACTCTTCAAACGTCAAGCAGGGCTCATAATTCAGTACCTTTTCACAATGTACAGAACATGCAAAAAAGCATGTTTCGCTTCTTTCTCATGCAAATTTTAAGGTACCTTATGCGCCAGGGGTAATAAGTTTCTAATGAACATTTTGAATTTTTAGTGAGTTATATCAACACCCCCCCCCCCCCTCCCCCCGATGTACCGATGCCACTGCACACGCGCAGAAGAGCCTCAAAACCTGGATAAACGTTTCTGTTGTTGGAGACACCGGAATCCTTCGCCCGAATGGAGATGGTTCAGGGAAAATCGTAAGATGTGGCAAACGCGATGGCGAACCCGCAGAGCATACGGGCGGACAGCAGCGCGGAAAGTAATTTGCCGCCCCGGTATACCATAGACCTCAATTTAGACATTAATGAAAATTGTATTAAAGACGGCTTATGACGTATAGCAGGAGTGACCAAACTGAGGCTCGCGGCTACCTGGTCAAGGTGCCTCCTTCCCCTCTTGTGCCCCCCCCCCCCCCTCCAAAAAAAACTTTTAGAGTTAAAAAAAAAGATGGCTCACAGTCTCGGCAGTCTTGTACACTACACCAACTCATGTTTACAAACAAACCGGAGCGACGCCGCGCATGCGCGATGGGGGTGTGGGCAAGAAGCTCGCCGTCGCCCATAAACAAACCATTGGAATGTGATGTTGTCGGCGTCGTTGTTAGTCCCTACGCTCTTTTTAGCGTTGGAATTGTTGATTCTACGTCTTCATGGCAATGTCTGACTACCTGAGCGGCCGCAGAGAAATTAACGAGGCTCGTTACACCGCAAAACGTGGTATGAATAATGTAACATGCGGCGATTCACTCCTCGTGGACGCCGCAGAATGGACGCTAAAGCCTGATTCACATGGTAAGGTTCTGCTGGCTATTTTCAGTCATGACGTCGCTCGGGCTGCAAAAGCCTGAACTGTAGCTGAGATGTCGACGTCGATACTGAAAATCGCAAGCAGAATCGGACCGAGTGAATCAGGCATAACAAGTAACAACTGGTAACAATTATCAACATCTCCTTACATCTACTGTTTACACCGAGCCTACTTACCCGTAGCAACCTTCAAGCTTAAACGTTTTTTGAGGTCTGCCCTTTTTATCGCAATTACCGGGTCAACGTTTGGTCTACAAGCCGCTGTTGTTTGAACGAGCAGACGACATGCATACAAGTTTGAGAGAAGACGACAGCTCGAACGATAGGGCGGCCGTTTGAACGTGATGACGCACTGAACGGCAGTCCGCAGGTGGTTCGCGCAACTTGACGGTTTTCCCGCGTTCATGTTAGAACAAAATAAATAAATCTGACGACCTCAAGTATCCGTGAATTCAATCCAAGGTGCTTTCCGCCCAAGCAATCGTGGTCCGACGGCGTCTGTTTTTCCTTTTTAACGGCCCCTGTTCACGTTCTCGGACAAACCGAGAAGGTAGAAAACGCATGAAAACTGACCTTCTAACCCTTCCCGACTATTTTGGTAATGCCCGAGTCACGGCGTTTTGACGAGAAGGCAGGTTCTTGTCCGGTTTCTTCCGAAGTAACACAGGAATGCACGTGCCCCAAGGCGGCTTCTGCCCACAGCCCCAGACCGGATGTGCGGCCGACGCGCCACCACCGCGCCATTACGTAAAATAGATGAGTTCGTGTATAGTACGTACATACAGTTGCACTTCTTTTTGACACATAGATGCGTCCACTGACCCTGTTGCCTTTGTTGTTCGAGAAAGAATTGCGAACCGTGTGCTCACAACGGGCGTCAGGGGCAGTGGCTGGCTAGCGAAGCATGCATTCATTTTTGCTTAGCTATTGAAGAAACATTTTGCTGCCTGGTGTTGTTTGCTGTAGTCTACAATTATACGTGCCCCCTTTGGAAACGACAGTTCCCTTCATATCGTTTCTTGTAAAAAGTTGCCCACCCCCCTCTTTTTTTTCCTGTGGCTCTCTAAACTTTAGTAGCTTTGTCTGCGGCTCCAACCCTCATGTCACTTCGGCCAGCCCTGACGTAGAGCGACTGTTAATGATGTAAACAACTTACGTGGGCGCTTTTAAATGAGCCGTCCTAACTATAGTCCCTGAGAGCTTAAAGAACGCAGTGCGATAGCCTCCTCTATACTCATAAAGCCTGACAGTTCGACGACGGAGCCATAGAGTTCCCAGGCGCAGATTTGAAGCGCGAGGCTTTGGTAGCACAGAGCATCAAAGCGCCATTTCTCGGGGAACCTGGACGTCAGCGCACAGATTTTGCAGCGGCGAGGACCCAAGACGCACTTGTTCTCTCTCGAGAGCGTCTCGCCACAGCAGGGCGCCAGTCACGTGGCTCTCCCGTCATCCGTTGTCTGCCGCTCCTCCTTTTCCATTTCGGCGGCCGCTTCTCGTGGCGATCTACCAGGCTTTGTCAGTATAAAGGAGGCTATGGCAGTGCGTAGATAATTACCATCCTCGCACTTCTTGCTTTGTCACTCGGCTTTCGTATCTGATAATCCCGTTATCTCTTTGGCTGTGGAGCAATGACAAAACGCCCGAGACTCGTCGCGTCCCGCATTTCTTAAGCCATCAATGACTTTAACTGTGTTGGCCGTATAAAGACGTCCCGTAATGTCAATGAGCGTTCACGCTCATAAAGATGACGGATCACTTGCTTTATATTTATTTATTGATACCGTTGGCTTACTGGCCGCTACAAGGGCGGGTTTTCGGCAAGTCTGCATACTTCATACTCACTTGCGACACTTCGGGGAATTTTTGCTCCATATCGATTTAGAGTGCCTGAAATCGGTAGCCTTTTCAAAAGTGCACGCCGTGAATATCTACTGCATCAGAAATCGGATGTTTAGACCTGAAAATGAAGTCCGCCCAGTGGCATCACGCAATGCAAAGCGTCATCCTTACATTGCGTAATGCCACAGTCCAGACTTCATTTTGAGGTCTAAACAGATGTTCCGCTTCCTCATTCGCTAAGCTGATTTCGCAGATCGCAGAGATTGGCTCTTTGAGTGTTTTGCGGGTAAGTAGACGTGCAGGCATTTCTTAGAGTGTGAAATATAATTTCAATATTCGTCATCCTAGACTTTTAATAAAGACGCTTAAAGTTTTATTTTTTTTCAAATAAAGACCCGTTTCAGTTTCCCTTTCAATACACTGCAACACCGTTTCGTGTCCCGCACAAATCTAGTATACATTTACTTACTTTTTAATGGCTTCCACGTATGATCCAATGTCCTCATGGTGATTAGCTGTTGTCACACCCATGATGGTTTCTGCAATATGCAAAGTGTGCAGCTTGGCACGGTATATTTTACATCAGAACAAATAGGGTGGTGAACATACCCAGTAAGATTTCCATAGTACACTCTGTCGAAAACGAAACAATGTCGGTTGCAGCATTTCCAGAACATTGGTTTAGTCTCTTTACCATTTTTCTTGCATGTTCATTAATGGTAGGGACGAGATCTTCAAGAATACGGAAGTGAAAAGCTGGAGTCAGCATTCGCCTTCGCTGCTTCCACTTGGCTCCAAAACTGTTTCAGTTTCGTGAAAAAAGTATTAAAATATAGGTAAAAGTACAGCCAAACAGATGTGTGTTCAGTACGCAAAACGAGAGCACGTGCGTCCACGGACTCATATTTAGATTGCGCGCAATGTTCCTGGTTAGAAAGACAACTTTTACAAATCTGCAATGAAGAAAACCAGACATACACTTTTGGAAAACAAAAACAACAACAACAACGACTAAACGTTTGCACGACACTACCTATTTAATGTAAAATTCATATCGCCGTAGTAAGTGGTCGTAAACTAGCACCCGCAGTATTCTCGCAAGGAGGACCTAAGGGTGGGAAATCGGTGAATACTGTTGCGTCCCGTTTCTTTCTTTTTTTTCTTCTTTTAAAAAAGAGTCACTATACCCTGCGTGTAATTAAAACTTAAAAAAAAGACATTGTGCCATCAATCCACGTGACAGTTAGTTAGCGCGATATCTCCTTTGTAGCAAGGGCATAGTGGTGGAACTTGGAATCGAGTTTGGCGTCAGGGTTCGATCTTGCCCCGTGTTTACACTGACAGACCACCATGCAGTCCTGGCCTAACCCTGACACAGCACTGGTGTTTAATCTGTGCATTCGCGCTGGCCTTTACTAAGTAGGTGACATAGAAAACCCAGCACTACAGCCTGTTTTTTTATAGTCCGTTGCAGGTTAAGAAGACAAGGTCGTCCCACCAAATCTCTCCGCTCTTTCCACTTTAACACTGCGCACGCCGGAGAGAAGGCGGGGAGGGACTCCTCGAACCATTTGAGATGTTGCACTGTAGAAGCCCCGCTAAATTTAGCGGAAAAATTTCCCCGCTTAATCTAATGAAAAAATTTCCCCGCTAAATCTAACGAAAAAATTTCCGCTCTAAATGTAGCGGAAAATTTTCCCCGCTAAATCTAGCGGAAAAGTTTCCCCGCTAAATCTAGCAGAAAAACTTCCCCGCTAAATCTAGCGGAAAAATTTCTCTGAGGGACTACGTGACCCCCCCCCCCCCCTCCCCCCCCAGAGGTTACGTGACCTCCCCCCCCCCCCCCCCGAGGTCACGTGACCCGAGCACGTGACCCTCAGTGTAGCGATGCAGCCACATGCGGCGGCGCTTGGTGCCCGGCACCGAACGCGCTCTTTTTTTTTTTCAAGTACGCAGCCCGTGGAATCCGCTTTTCGTCGCTAGCTTTATGAATACGAACGTTTTCTTACATGCGCTGTAAATGTACAACGCTAAATGTACAACGCGAAAGAGAAGCAAATTTTCTTACGTTTTGAAATGGATAGAGTTGGCTAAGTCAGCTCCACGTCGTACCGCCTACCGCAGAACCCACGTGGCGTCGTCTTCGGGATAGTTTCGGTCTTGCCATAAACGCCCCCCGATATCAAACTTTGGGCCATAATATTTACAAAACAACTCACATTATTGAGAAACAAAGCATAAACCTTTATGCTTTGTTTCTGTTTGTTTAGTGAGTTGAAAAAAGTTCTAATCCTAAATTTGATAATATTGACCGGAGTTGCCCTTTAATCTGGCTGAATATGGGAAGTAGTTCAACAGCCAAATCAAACTAGTCTCCATTTGGTATATAATATACATTGTTTTCAACGTTATAAATTACCCATCGCTTTGTAAGAACTCTTATAAAGCGCGATTTTGAGTCGTGCGTTATCCATTCGTGCTTTGACGACAGCCTTTTGCAATTCTGCAGCGAGCTAGCATATGAGGGGATTAAATATAAAATGTTTAAACCCCTTTCACATGCCCTGTTCCTTTAAAATAGCATGTCACTGCAATCACCCACAGGTGATTGCAGCGCAGGTCACCAGAGCCAGGATAAACATGATCTTGGGCAAGAAAAGTAATAACCTAAAGCGACGACATGCAAGGCTGCAGAAGAAAAGATAAATAAAAAAAAGGGATCCGGCCGGTTTTCGCCAATCGTGCAACGAAATATGTTGTCCGGTATGCCTTCCCCGCATATCCCCATAAAGATCTCCCACTGAGCGCAGGATTATTAAACCCTGTGGGTTACATACACAACTCCCACAGTCCTGTGGGTCTCAGGTTCCCCACACAGATTGCCCACAAAGCGCAGGATTATGAAAGTTGACCACACGATTCCCGCACATCTGTGGGTCTGCGGCATCCATAGGCATCCCACACAGATTACATATGATATTTGTGGGGCCCGCAGGGCTCCCACAGACCCGCAGAGAGTGTGTGGTGACCCACAGACACTGAGGAACACAAGGACCCTAGACCCACGGAAACCCGTAGGCCCACAGAGTTTCATAATCCTGCATGTCTGCGGATTCTTGAAGCGGGGATGGCACTTCCTCATTTTCTGCAAATATTTGTTTCACTATAAAATGCAAGAACAGCTCAGATGATAAGATATGACACTGAGACCTCTTACCTCGTTAACAAGCCCGTGCCCAACCAAGAGTGCAATAAAGTATAGTTGAAAGATTTCCTCGTCGTTTTTTGGCTGGTAAGAACTCTCTGTAATGTAAGGTATTGGGCGGTCATACATAAGGTGTGTGGTCACTTGGAAAATTAATTTCACATTATTATATAAGCAAAATGAACGGCACACTGTTCATAGCTTACAAGCTCAAACATCTTGGGTCAACTTAATAATCGATTGCTGATTTCCTTGTTACTTACCTCAACAAATTCCGTCTTAAATATTAACACACACAATTGGTTTCCCAAAACGATGCGGACAAGGCCCTTGTTCTGGAATTGCGAACAAAGCCCTAACTGTACCTCCATTGAGCCTGAAATAAAAAAAAAATAACGTAATGCGAAGTGTAAAGATTAATTTAAAAATGTAATGTTCTGATTGCAAGCGTATCTAAACATCTGTTTTCTTTTTATACCAAAGTGTATTACGCAGATTCTAAGTTGGAATAAATAAGACACTTTAATATAAAAAAGGGAACTACATAAAAGACAAGGAAGGACAAGGCGTCTGTTCGTTCTCGTCTTTTTTTATGTTCTTCCCTTTATTTATAGGATCCTTAAAATCACGCTTTCCATTCCACGTAAAACGGTTTGTTGGGCACATTTGAATTTTCTTGAGTTTGTTTCGAAACCCCTTAATACAGATACACTTAGCAACGCTGGTTCACGCTAGATATCCATTTTGCGAATTTGTTGTTTGGAGAGTTGAGGCTTTGTTCCTTTACAAAACATGCAGCAGTAGCAGTCAGTGGAGCTGTTTTAAAATTGCCCGTACAAAGAATCAAATGCAAACAAAAGTCGTAAAAAATCGTAAATTCAGATAAAAAGGCTCTGCAAAAACACGAATTACTTATGAACTTTTAATACTCCCGCCAAATGTAGGCTACGCTACACTTTGGGCGAACAAGCAATCACCGGTTTTCTTGTTTTTTTCTCAGTATTGAAGGACTGTCATTATAGCCTCCAAAGTGGTTGAGAGTGCTCAGTTGGTGTACTAACCTAAGTGGTAAGTCTTGATTCCCTCCTCTACTACCCTTTCGAAGTAAGATGCAAAAAATTGGCGAAGTTATGTTAGCCCTGACAGTGTTGCGTAGTGTGAACACCTTGGTTAGCTGTGTAAAATACGATGACAATAATGGTCTTTGCAGCATTTTCGCCCTCTTCCTTAAACACGCACGAAAAGTGTCAGCTGAATAAAAATTATACTTTAGGCGAGCGACTTTGAGGGTAGCAATTATAACTCAATGAGAAACGTGTGGCGAAACATTATAGGCTGATTCATACACTTGCGACCGACTCCGCCACAATCTCTGTTTAAGCCTCCTGCGAGTGCTTACGACAGGCAGCGCAGCTGAAATATGAACAACGAAGCGCGTGGCTTTCTGTACATCCTGCGCATCCTGGCGACGGGCTAGGGAAGGTTGCGCAGACGCAGTAAGGCCAAAGATACGAGGATTCTCGTCCAACTGTAATATGCCTTGACCGTCGCTTCGTGTTCAGGCGCTTTGTCACGGCGAGCTTCGGGGCCGTGACAAGGCGCCTCCTCCATGTTGCCTCAACGACAAGCTCCGCTGGCAAACACACCACGCAGCCGCCAGTTGAGATAACGGTGGCGCGAGCTATAATCAGTTTATTTATTTATTTTTATTTATTCATTTACCCTAAATGCCCTGACGGGAATCACGTAGGAGGGTGAAGCAATGGTACAAAGTTTGATACAATTGAGTCAAGTGAAAAAACAAAAACAAAAAAAATACGATTACATAGTTGGCATGAACAGTGTTAAACAAGCAATAAACAATATACATAACAAAAACACTAAATGAAAACATGGCGCAAAGCGGCACTATATAAGTTGATACAAATTACTTAAAGAATTAATGAACATATCTTCTATTCGGAGATGTAAAGAACCAGTGGGGAATTATTGAACAAGTTAGCGCGGGCAAAGATGGGCGATACTTTAAAGTGATGGTCTACGCGAGACGAAATATGATGTGCAGGCTGAATGAATGAGGTCCTTAAGGGGGATGATCCATGATAGAGCTTGTGGAAAACTGACATGCGAGCAATACATCTTCTGTACTGCAGTTGGGTTAGGTTGAGGTTACGTTTTATGTTAGTCACACTGGAAGTACGGGAGAAGTTGCGGGTTATAAATCTTGCAGCTTTATATTGAAGTGCCTCAATATGGTTGTTTAAGTAAGGCTGATGAGGGTGCCATATCCATGGATGCATATTCTAACTGCGACCTGACGAGGGTAGTATAGGCGAAGAGTTTTGTTTCTTTGTTAGCTTGAAATAAAGAGCATTTAAGAAGGTTCAGAAAAGTTTTCGAGGGAAAGGAAGGCTGAGGAGGAGGAAGCAGACGGAACGCTGGAGAAAGGAGGAGGTTTCCTTCACTCCTCTCCTGCATTCGGTTTTCTTCCTCCTCCCCAGCCCTCCTTTCCTTTGAATACTTTTCTTTAGCCGTAACTGATTATAGAGCGAACGGGCCCATAGCGCCGCGACGCGCCAAGTAAAGCGCTCACACACCGAGTGATGGGCAAAGGTCACGTCAAGGCACATCAGAGTTGAACGCGAATCCTCGTATCTCTGGCCTTATTTCGCATGCGCAACTATAGCCCGCCGCCAGTCTGCGCAGCATGTACAGAAAGCCACGCGCTCTGTTTCTCGTATTTCAATCTATCACCATTGTACAGGCATCGTTTAAGATAATCATTTGGCACGTACTCCATGGGTAGAAAGCAATCTAGTTTTGAATATTGTTGCAGGTTGATTTATAAACAATTAAAACATGCGCTGGTGTGCCGGAGCCAACTAGCATTCATTTTAAATTACCTTGGACATTTACACTTTTCCGACAATATTGCTCCCTGAGGGCCCCCCCCCCCCCCCCCCCCCCCGCCCCATATAGTGAGTAAATTATGTCTCGTAATAATTAGGTCATATAAAACTTAATCAGATATCGCCATACTTAAAGCCAACCGCGTTGAAGTCTACAAAATTCTACATAAAGCATAACTACGCACAGTACAATACAACGAGAAACGCTCCTATAATAAAGTATTCGAATCCGGTCATACTAGTTATCAGTGTCAACGTTAGACGATGGTCAAGAGATGCAAGACGCGCCGACCAAACTCCGGACTCGGTCACACTCTAATATCTATATACTACTGCCTGGTACTCACATTTATGTTTTCGCCGTACATAAACATCTCCGCATATTTTGGGAACCGACGACAAAACACTCGTTTAATTTTTACCGATTATTCGCAGGTTGAGTTGCGGTTTTAACTATGATGTAGCGACTATATATGAACATTCAAAGATGGAGCACTTACCAACATTGAACGGAACCAAGGGAGCGGCTTTTGAAAGGCGGCGGTGCGTGCGAAGTACCCAGAGCATCGGTATGCTTTCATATGGCCCTGGTAGAGCCTTGGCGTGCTTCCATGCCCGATTGCGCGCTGCGCATAAGGCAGCCAGGGCAGACAACAGGGCGAACCCTGCCCCGCAAAGAAGCAACGACGCAAGGAAGAGTAACATGTGAGGCACCCCCAGCATGGACAGCGGCAGAGTCCATAGCTCAAGAAAAACAAGCATCGACGTACTCCTACAGCTGGCTAGCGGCCAGCGAGAAGCCGTTCGGAATAAATGTTTTTGCTTCTTCTCTCGTTGAAATAAGTGGCTTGGGGCGCAAAGATAAGCAATCATTGAGCGTTGGTGGTGCTATTTTTGTTGGAACCGGTTATAGTGCGTAAATATCACTAGGCAACTTTTGAAGAAAAAACAAATTGCGAAAACATGGACGTCGTTTTTTCCGCTCCCGGGTGATTTCAGATAAGATCGAACAGGGGGTGACTGGTCGACCTTTTTACTTTGCTTCATAATTTTGTATGTTGTTTCCCGATGTCCAAAATAAACAAAATTATAATTTTTTTCACCCAGGAAAAAAATTGTCAGACGCAAAAAATCGTACATCACGTAGAGGTGGAAAGTCGCATTTGCTTGCATAGCCGGAGGGGGCAACTTTGGTGATTAATAACTAAAGTTATACTTTTTAGGTGAATTTCATAATGTTTTAGTACAATCTATATTTACTTAGCAATACAAAAAATATTGTTATTGCTTAACATGTTTTAAGAAATAAATAAATAAACATCAATTTCGGCTCCTTGACCGTTTTTTTCTCAACTTTGCAGGCCTGTATCTTAGGAAATAATTTAGTCAGAAACGTCATATTTCAATAAAATAAACTTCTTATAGATGAAAGTACATTCAGAAAATTTAAATTTATTTAAGCGCGGGTTGGGGAGATTTTGGCAAGCAAACACGAGACAAGCACCCAAATAAAAATGTTTTCAGGGCGATTTAAAAACAAAATCCCGTTCTCGATTTTTAAAAAACTTTGACCGGTAATTCTACTCTATTTGGGGGTTAATATCTTTTAAAAACATGTTGCATTATATTGATGGTGTAATAGATACAGCACCTCTACCGAGCCCCTTCTTATTGCGACTTCTTACTTTGAAAGAAAAGTAATTCTTTTATTCATTCGAGTATAGCAAGTAATAGTTTGTCACATCTTGGGCGTTATAATAAATTGAACATTAAATATAATAAATTACACATCATATACAACACAGTTCTGCCTTTATAGGTTTCACAATGGACAAATTTTGACGCAAACATTTTGTGACGCCGTGCACTTAGAGTTTTTTCCAAGGAGACCCGAAAGTCCGTGCCACTTGCAAGACCCAGGTCGAAGCTTCTGATGTTTTGCACAGCCACACATGCCACGACTGAATACCAGGAAAGGCGCGCACTCCCACCCACTCTTCAATTTTGCGTTCACGAAATTCAACAACCTCGTCTTTGTCCAAAAGTGTGAAATTCATTCTTTTAGTTCTTGGGAAAGACTGTTCACCATGCATCTTGCAGACTGTATGGCCTTTCCTGGGAGCTGTCTCAAGTTGTGAAGCGTTGCTTGGTGTTTGACGAGCCCTCCAACTCCGTCACATGCGTTTTTCCCGTGCCCAGTGGCTCAGAATAGCCATTGGGCTTTGGGAAAAACATTTTTTTTTGGAATTCATGAAGTTGGAAGCGATTCTTGAAGTGACTGGCGGCACCGTCACTTAAATAAGTCAAAGGAGAGTACACAGCAAGGTTGTCATCGACCCACTCTCTCACGTTTTGTACAACCAGACAGGCATGAGCGGAGTCATGATGCAAGTCGTCACTGATGACGGCAAAACTGTATGTCGACTTTCTAGTCGTCACCACACACGTAAATATGGAGACCTGTTTATTTTTTTTCCAGTGGTACGCTTGAATCTCGTCAGGAAGGATAACAGTCCAGTTTTCAGCAACGTCGAAGTGGAAGACAATGCTACCACGCTGCGCGCACTGCTTTTCTTCATAGATGACTTTGCCTTGCGTCTGTCTGATATGGTTGTGAATGATCCACCTTGAGACCGACACACGAAGCTCTTCCAGAGAAGTGACCGGATCTAAAGTCTTTTTCACGAGCTCGCCTGACTCCCCATGCTGCAAAACCTATCTCTTCATCCTCGGAAATGTTGAGTTTTCTGAGTGTAAGAGAGAATGTGAGTGACATTCGTCTAGAAGGCACTGGCGCGATGGTGGGTTGCAAATGAATGCCGAGGTCAATTCCGCTGCGTCAAGTTGTGAGCCAGAAGCGTTTTGTAGAGAGGCGACAAAGAGGGTTATAATTTGCGCAGTACGCACAAACGCACGCTTCTTGCTGGGGATTGCATTTAACCTATCGGGGTCGCAGGGAGTAAAACTTCGTCAATCCGATGCCGGAGTCGGGATGGTCACTTTTATATACACGAAACGCTTCTCTGATCGACCGTGGCATAAAACGTTTCGGCTTGAACGTTTTCTAGCCATCGAGCACAACGGAAATGACGTCCCTCTGATTGGGACACTCTAACTCGTCTTTCATGCAGTACGCAACCGCTGCAAATATGTTTTCATGGCTCACCTTACACCTTGTATAGGGATCGGGCCCATGCCACACGCCGTGGTCCTCCCTCACCTTCCGGGACCTATTAATGATGTAGAACGATGCCTCTGGGATGATTTTCTGGACTTCATTTCTTGTAAAGGTTGATGGCAGGAGGTTCAGCAACTGACAGCGTTCCCGGGGAGAGGCTGTGGTCGCAAAGGCGCGGCGAATGTTGTCCACCCAGTCGGTGCATGTGGAACACTTGTGCTCCGACGCCCCAATGCCACGCTTTCATCGTACGCAAGACGCATCCTGGAGCACAAATTCTCAGTCACAACCTGCTCCAACTCCGTCTGTTTCCTCTTTACATAGGCAGGCCTGTCTCGACTTCTTATTTCACTTGGTGGTCTTAGTGGTGACACAAACGCTGAACGTACGCTGCGGTTGCGGTCTTCAATGGCCTCATCAGGAGGCATAAAGCAGTCACCGCCCAACTCTGAGCTTCGCAAAGTTATTTGCTTGGTGAAAGGCGTAAAGCAATTGTAGCACAGGTAGTCCAACTTGCTCACCTC